CCTTATTTTATCACCAATATACCACTCTTTGATTTGCCATCATGAGAACTGAAATTTTGTTCCGACATATACCGATAATTCAGCTTTAATTTGAGGGGTGCTTAACTTTTTTTGCTGTGTATATATACTGTAAATCACGAAATTTTTGCGAGCATGATATTTTTGCGAAAATTGCGAATGCCTTCAGCTCGCAAAAATATCGTGACGCAAAAAGTTCATGATTTACTGTATTGATGAGGAGTTTCAGATCACAGTTTAGCACGACGCTTGTCTGACGCTAAGTGACGGATGCCACTTTGTGTTGTAAGTCAGTTGTCGTGTTGTGTGCCAATGAATGTGTTTGTGTGCGTGATGTAGGTGTGACGTACATGAATGGGTCTCGTGAATGTTTAATAACCAATCAATAACGGATCAATAGCCTAGTGGTTAAAGCATTCGCTCGTCACGCCGAAGATCCGGGTTCGATTTCCCACATGGGTACAATGTGTGAAGCCCATTTCTGGTGTCCCCCGCCGTGATATTGCTAGAATATTGCTAAAACGGCGTAAAATCATACTCACTCACTCTCATGTGTCTTGGGTCACAAGTACATATGCCTTGTGGTAAGTTTGGTTGGGAGCGTGTGTGCAATGCTGGTAGAACTAGGTGGGTGGGTGGGTGTACAACCAGGCGGCATGTTTAACAGCATTCATTCCATGATTGCACAACCCACAGTCACCCCTACCCCAAGCCCGAGATTTGGTGCGGAATAGGCCACGTGTACCTCACACGGAATGGGATATATGACATTGTAAGATATGTGTTAGGGAGTGTCTCGGTAAACCAGCACTGGTATGCTTGGCCTGGCCTCGAAGAGCCTGAAAACACATTACTGCAATGTTAGATTAGGTAGATAAGTTCATGGATTTACGAGTTCTGTTTTACAATGACTGTGACATTTCACATACCTGCTTCACACCGGTGTTAGTATCTGCCCTGAATTGTAAGAAAAAAGTTGTATATGGATAGAATTGTCTCCCGTATAAATCATACCAACTCAATGCCACTTAAAGAGTTTACTAGAATAAATTACTAGTTTGGGTGAGGAATCATTCACTTAAACATTGCTCTTTTGGACTTGCCTGGCAATATTTATTTATGACTCTTCTGCCTGAAAGAGCGTTCACCTAATTCAACTCGTGGTGTAAACCTTGGGTAAATCATAGCTAACTCAAGCATTACTCTCGTATCTCACCATGCGCATTAATGTTACCATGGAGAGGCGCGAGGTAGCGAGACCGTACCTACGAGCCAATAACTCTTGTTCAGATCTAAGAAGGTAAAGTCAGGTATTACAGAGATTGAAAGTGCCCGATTTACTTCCTTTCCCTAGTCATAACGGAATATGTGCTTCACCAGTAAAATGACATGTTAACAATGAACCTAGTTCTATAAGAATACCTCCGCACATATATCATGGTAAAATGTATGAAGCACATTTCTAGTGAATACCACCGCATTGACTCTGATGGAAGATGCATGTCAAACACTCACTCACTCCAGTCTCTGTATACTAAGACGATCATATTACTGTATCATGTTTAACATTTGGCAATTTTCATCACACTTCTAAGTCATAATTCATACATACAGAGTGAAAGTCAACTAATTATAAAAGTATATGTCTATAGACACCAGGATGCTACAGGCCCTATCATACCGTATACTATCACCTGCAACTTCCGACATGGTTCCATTTCCGGCACACTTGAAACTAACATACAAACTCTACATGGAGAAATTGACTGCCTAAATGCCCATGTTTGTTTTATCGATTCAGTACGAAAGGATTTGGGACTGTTGAAACAGAACGTGATTGAAAGGCGGCAAAGTGTTTATCAGACAGAGACATGAGGTTTTCAAACACTAAACACTCCACAATGTCATACAGAGATGGTGGGTGGAATGTTTATATGACCGTTCTTTCGATGTACATAAACAGAACAAGAACAGAAAAGACAAGGCCGTCATGTTATGTTATTTCCAAGTTTATGCTGCTCACTCACTCACTCACTCACTCACTCACTCACTCACTCACTCACTCACTCACTCACTCACTCACTCTCACTCATGCGCTCACTCATGCGCTCACTCTCTCACTCACTCATGCGCTCACTCACTCACTCACTCACCCACCACCCACCCACTCGCTCGCTCGCTCGCTCGCTCGCTCACTCACTCACTCACTCACTCACTCACCCACCGCCCGCCCGCTCACTCACTCACTCACTCACTCACTCACTCACTCACTCACTCACTCACTCACTCACTCACTCACTCACTCACTCACTCACTCACTCACTCACTCACTCACTCACTCGCCCACCCACCCACTCACACTAAAACACATGATAAAAACTTGAGGGTGATTCAGGGTATTCCATAATGCAGAAACCAGGTGACCCGCCATGTAGCATCGACCGTTCACTGGACCGTGTCATGCCCTGGAGTAGACACGATCCTCGTTCACTCGTCTTTATCAATTATTTACGATGCAGCTAGCATGGATTGATTTGCACTGTCTGCTCTCGATAAACTACCGTTACAGGGCATCAACTCACGATCTCTTTTGTAATAAAACTGAGACATGGGATATGCGATATTTTCAGTTCGTCATGTACTCTGCATTGCGAATTCAACTCAGTTCGCCATCTTAACCCGTTGTAAATCCTTTAATCTTGTCAGGAGTCACTGTTCGGGATTTTGTATATTATCATCTAAGCTTCGTCAGCACCAACTACTTGAACCTTTTTTTTCATTTTGAAACGTTGTTCGAAGCAATACCTCACATGAGATTGTTTTATAAAGCTACCCAGCAAGAGATGGGTGCTAATTCTTCTTTCCGAACGCATGGTGTGGAGAGATGTTGAGGCATGATCTGGGGAATATCTACACAAGACAAAACACTTCAAATGTATTTATAAAAGATAACTGAGTGAGACAGAAAAAAATAATTCAATCAATAAAACGGTACCATTCGAATCACAGAAGCTGATGTGTGATTCAGTCACGCCCGCTCATGATACAGCCATTCTATAAGTTATCACATCGTGTCGAGGGAAATACGGGGTTTTATCAGTCCTGAGTAAGGTTGTATTCCGTGTCGAGGGAAATACGGGGTTTTATCAGTCCCGAGTAAGGTTGTATTCCCCGAGATACAACCTTACTCGGGACTGATAAAACCCCGTATTTCCCTCGACACGATGTGATAACGCATTTATCTAGCCGAATGTTTTTACTAAATCAAAAGAAAACGATGCGCATCAATTTCATTCTCAGTTGTTGTGGCAAAACGTTTCCTTACTGCCATGTTGACACCAGCTGATCGATTGACCTCAATGCAGCGCACGTTACTAAAAGCTGGGCGATGCACGCTTTTCTCACTTCGCGTGGTCACCGATGCGTGGCGGGATGATATGACTTTTTTACTCTCTGCTCGCGGATCGTGACGGCTCTACATGGTAGTTTATCAGAGTCACGTGAACCTATCAAAACTTGACATTCTTACATGAGGCTGGATAATGGGTGTTGCCAATGGAGGACGTGCTTCTGTGAATATTCACTGTTTGAAGTTATCCTGTTTACAGGTTTACACACGACAACGCCATTCAAAATATTCGAATATAAAAGATTCGAACAAACGACACGAACACTTTATCGTGCTGATTAAAGCCACCTTGGCCTGACACGGTGGCTGCCTCTCTATTGTCGTGATATTGGTAATCCCAGCAGAGTAATCCTCCAGGTTCTAGACCAGTATCAGTTATTGTAGTAGTGTATTGTAGTAGCGGTTGTGTTGAACGTGGCTGTTTGTTGTGTTGTAGATCATGTCGCTGGTAACGTAATAGTTTGTTGTAGTAGATACTGTAGTAGTAGTGGCACTAGTAGATGACGTAGTTATAGTAGTATCATCAATTGTAAGATCGGGAATCCAGGCGGCCTCTATGACAATGTGACACTAATTCAGATGAGTAACACAACCACAGACATCGATCTCTACATTAAGCATCGAAGGTTATCGCACTGAGATTCCATGCTAATGATGTTCGTCAACAGGTCCTTGTCCAGAGAATACCCCTGTCTGAGGCAACAACACTAGATGATTCGGATACGTCAGCGAACAAAATGGAAGTGAAAAGTTGAAAATAACCGTGTTTATACCAGGAAACGGCCGAAGAACCTTTACCTCTCTGTATACTGTCTCTGAGCGTACTCAAACAGTTTGTGTAATCACTGCCCCAGTCTTGGTCACTCGTGTCATCGATCCGAGGTCACATGACTTACAATTTTCAGTACTATGCTTCTCATTTACAATGACTTGAATGACCTGTTACTTTGGAATGTTACTGTGGTGTTGGTATGTAGCTTCATTTTCATTACTTTCAGACAATCGTGAACACCAACATAGTTCAGCCTATAAATCGAATTTACATTGTTCATAATGTACAGCGATCTCCCACTGCACACCCGCTACATCGACCCTACATTGGTTAACCTTTACAGCGAATCTATGTAGTCAATCCTTTACAGCCTACCTACATGGTACATCATCTGCAGCCACTCTACATACTTCATCCTTTATATAGAACTTTATAGATGATCCTTTCAATAGACCATACATACTTCATCCTTTACAACATTGCGATCTTATCGAAAGCTTCATCAATTGTTAATGTTCAGTTGCCCGTGGTAACAATAACTAAGCCAGTATTAAATATTAAAACGTAGGGTTACTCCACAATAGAACGCGCCCATTATTCCCCACACTTGCCGACCTTCTTGTGGATATGTTCTCACAATAGCCACCGATGAAGCGAATTCTATGAATAGGTGAAATGTCCACAAAAACCAAAAGAAAGACGACAATTGTCAGAGACATCATGATTTCACTGTCCAATCAAATCATCTATTTACGAAGGTCGTCACTGACAACAAGAACGCTGTTGTTTTCGTCACTGATGCCATCAGTCCATCAGAGGGTTAAAGACAGACACAATAGAAGACGAGGCAGGTAGCACACGTTGGATAAGTATTCTTCTCTACGAGACAGCTCGGAAGATATTACACCATGGGTGAATGGCAGCATGGGTTGTGTGGATGTTTCGATAATTTCGGTATCTGTATCATCACCTACTTTGTGCCTTGTGTGACGGCGGGCAGGAACGCTGAAGCTGTGGGGGAGAACTGTTGTCTTTACGGCTTTCTCTCCATGACGTGCGTGGGACTATGGTCAATGACGATGGTCAGAGGGAAGATCAGACAGGCGAAAGGCATTGAAGTAAGTAACTTCATGATGCAACCTATCTCAGCTAAGATGTGTGCTCTGGCCTATTGCATCCCTCATGATATCGTCGATAAATTGGGATGTGCGTTTTCAGTTAAAAACGATTGATGATAAACTTATGAGTTCGGTTTTCGTAGGGGTGTTATATATCGTTGCTAGGATGAATATTGCACTTTCACATACACAAACATATATGAATTACCTTAAACATGTCTGCTATTTCTAAAGAATCATAGAACATGTGTAATATATTACTAGGCACAGTATCATATAATATGTACTATTTGCAGCCATGTTATTGGCATATTGCAAAGAATGAGGGGTAGAAACAAAACAAATTTGTGACATAATGCTATCCATGTATAGATTACTATAAATGATAAAAATTGTGTGTTATTATTCTTTAATGGAAGTCCTGACCGCCGCAGACAACCCGGATACTGTCTGCACGCATCTAATGTATAAAATATGAGCATGATCACTTAGAGCAGGAGAGCCAGCCGGGTATTCTTCTAGGAAGCAAATACCCGGTCTTACAGGGATCGGTATATGCGTTTTTGTTATATATCGATAGGCCGACACATAGGAGCTATATCAACAGTTTGTACTGTCTTGTAAGAGATCGGTGTGGGTCGGTTTGTCCAATAATACATGTAAAACTAAAGTTGCGTGTTAACACAATGGAGAAGCAAGATACATGAAGCAGCATCTAGATGATTTCCTATCGATTTCATAGGACAATTGAATTCGCGAAACTGGGGTCACATCCTAGTAAAACCAGTGTATTTAATAACATGCGGTTTGATCCAATTTGGTGCACCGTTTGATGTCGAGATGAAATCTATCTGCATATCAGTAACCCCAAATCAACAGGAAGAAAAAAGATGAAAAATAGGAGGTAGTCAATAAGACAACGTTGCTCTGCTGTTGAGAATGCGAGAGGGAACCTGTGGGCAGGGGCACACACGGTACCGAGCACGTTCCAGTACAGCTGGCTAGTGACCACATCGTGCTACTGTTGACTGAGGAGGGTGCATCAAGAGCAGGCAGGGGCACACACGGTACCGAGCACGTTCCAGTACAGCTGGCTAGTGACCACATCGTGCTACTGTTGACTGAGGAGGGTGCATCAAGAGCAGGCAGGGGCACACACGGCACCGAGCACGTTCCAGTACAGCTGGCTAGTGACCACATCGTGCTACTGTTGACTGAGGAGGGTGCATCAAGAGCAGGCAGGGTACCGAGCACGTTCCAGTACAGTACTGTTGACTGGCTGGGTGCTAGTGGCAAGGGGGCATCGGTACCGAGCACGTACTGTTGACTGAGTGACCACATCCTGGTGCATCAAGAGCATCAAAGAGCAGGGGCACACACGGTACCGAGCACGTTCCAGTACAGCTGGCTAGTGACCACATCCTGGTACCGTTGACTGAGGAGGGTGCATCAAGAGCAGGCAGGGGCACACACGGTACCGAGCATGTTCCAGTACAGCTGGCTAGTGACCACATCCTGGTACTGTTGACTGAGGAGGGTGCATCAAGCAGGGGCACACACGGTACCGAGCACGTTCCAGTACAGCTGGCTAGTGACCACATCCTGGTACCGTTGACTGAGGAGGGTGCATCAAGAGCAGGCAGGGGCACACACGGTACTGAACAAGTTCCAGTACAGCTGGCTAGTGACCACATCCTGGTACTGTTGACTGAGGAGGGTGCATCAAGAGCAGGCAGGGGCACACACGGTACCGAGCACGTTCCAGTACAGCTGGCTAGTGACCACATCGTGCTAATGTTGACTGAGGAGGGTGCATCAAGAGCAGGCAGGGGCACACGCGGTACTGAACAAGTTCCAGTACAGCTGGCTAGTGACCACATCGTGCTACTGTTGACTGTAGAAGGTGCATCAAGAGCACCGTAATGCCTAATCCTGTTTGTCCGTTCATTACGTCCACCAACGAGATTTATAAACTAGCCACATACTTTCTTCTGTATGGGTATGTTTGGCACATAAAGTAACGCACATGAAAGTTCTTTCATTGTTAAGTGTACGTCTTATACAGCAAATCTTTGTTTGTAAAAATGTTTTGTCAACTGCATACACATAATTGTCCTACTTACACGAGTTGACTTATGAGTGTGAGTTATATCCTGTTCTTACAAGGTGTAACAACAATACATGCATAGTCGTATTCATATGAATCGTTATAGTTTTTTACACGCAGGTGCATCGATCATTGCACGTTTTGGACCATAAAAGCTTCTGTACACCAGATGAACCCTGGTGACAGACATCACACCACAACTGACGTTACAGACGACCGAACGCTGCCATTGATAGCAGCGTCGATAATAAAATACTATGAAGTGTGTCGATTTGTCTTCAAACACTGTTGTGTTGTTGCTATAGAACAAAACACTGTCATGGCTAAGGCGTTTCGTACCTTGTTAGCGTACTAAATTAAATCCAGTGTTACACAATATAATGCTTTTTTATCGACATTAATGTACCGCATAGCGAATTAATGCACAATTGTATAGCAATGGTTGGAAGCAAAGTTATCATGGTGTTAATACACTGTATGTGTCATTAAACGCGTAACGTGTGTACAAACCATTCACTGAGATATGTTTATTACACGCAGCCAGACAGAGTGTTACAGAAATATCCACAGCAATATTGGAGTACTTAAAACAATACTATCAAATATCCGCGTGAATATGTTGAGGTACGTAGTAAAACCTTGAAGTACTCATAGGAATATGTTGACGTACTCGTAGAAATATGTTGAAGTACACGTAGGAATATGTTGGTGTACACGTAGGAATATGTTAAGATACTCATAGGATTATGTTAAAGTACGGGTGTCAATTGTTTAAGCATTTTTAGAAATAAGGAATATCTTTGTTAGGGATGTTTACGTTAGGAATATGTGTGTCAGGAATATGTAAGGGATGTATATGTTAAGGATAACTATTTAGGGAATATATTTTATACATTTTAAGGATATCTATGTTTGGATTATCTATGTCAGGAACGTCTATGTCAGGATTGTGATAGTACACATTTCCAGCCCCTCAGAAAACGTAGGCTTGACAGTCCCGCTCAGTAATGCCTGAGTGTAAGGTATTATAATAGAATTTATTTACTGGCAGTATTGTTTGTTTCAGGGCAGCTGTATTACAGACTATATACTGATTATGTTCTGTTGTTTGTTTCAGGGCAGTTGTATTGGAGACTGTATACTGATTATGTTCTGTTGTTTGTTTCAAGGCAGTTGTATTGGAGATGGTATACTGATGATGTTCTGTTGTTTGTTTCAGGGCAGTTGTATTGGAGACTGTATACTGATTATGTTCTGTTGTTTGTTTCAAGGCAGTTGTATTGGAGACTGTATACTGATTATGTTCTGTTGTTTGTTTCAGGGCAGTTGTATTGGAGACTGTATACTGATTATGTTCTGTTGTTTGTTTCAGGGCAGTTGTATTGGAGACTGTATACTGATTATGTTCTGTTGTTTGTTTCAGGGCAGTTGTATTACAGACTATATAATGATTATGTTCTGTTGTTTGTTTCAGGGCAGTTGTATTTGAGACTGTATACTGATTATGTTCTGTTGTTTGTTTCAGGGCAGCTGCATTGGAGACTGTATACTGATCATGTTCTGTACGCTGTGTACTTTAGTACAGGAAGGCCAGGTAGGTTTTGTGAGTACGTGAGTGAGTAAAGCTGTGAATGAGGGTGACATGACGTGAGCAACAACACAGAACCAATAGAAAATCACGCTGTATCAGATGTAAAGCGAAAGCTGTGATGTATCAGCTCTTATACAACGGTTGTACCTGATCTATAACAATAGTCGTGATGTGTCACGTAGAAAACAACAGTCATGCTGTATCAGATCTAATACCACAGTCGTGATGCATCAGATGTGCCACTACAGTAGTTTAGATTTATCAAATGCAATAAAATAGTTGTGATGTATCAGATCCAAAGCAATAGTCACACTCTATCAGATCTAAGGTATTAGTCGTCATTTCTTAGAGCTAATGCAATAGCCATAGTTGTGAACTTAAACAATCTCTGTCTTCGTGTACTGTCACGTACACATATATAGGGCCGTCTTCTGACAAACGAACTCTTGTTTTATACTCATGTTGTAGAAAGTCTTAATGTTCTATTAATGTCATATTTTACTGGACCGTTATGTTTTAAGGTAGCATATAGATTGTTGCATCGTTATACACACGTGACGTACAGGTTTGTGTCGTTGTATATATTATTTTACCATGTTCGTTATCAGTATACTACAATACTTCATTGTACATTATGAGTATACAACAATACTTCAAGGTACATCATTGGTATACTACAATACTTCCATTTTCATTTTCTGTATACTACTACACTTCCAGGTACATTATCATTACTATAACAATTACTCGTAAAATATTGTAGCATGGAAAATGTACATAGAAGCAGTGTTTTATACTGATAATGTACATTGAAGCATTCCAATATACTGATTATATACATGGAAGTGGTGTAATATACAGAAAATATACATGGAAGCAATGTAGTATACTGATAATGAATATTGAAGTGTTGTGGTATACTGATAATGACCATGGTAATATTGTAGTGTACTGAAAATATATGAAAATGGTAATATTGTAGTGTACTGATAGCGAACATGGTAATATTGTAGTGTACTGAAAATGAACATGGTAATATTGTAGTGTATTGATAATGAACATGGTAATATTGTAATATACTGAAAATGAACATGGTAATATTGTAGTGTACTGATAATGAACATGGTAATATTGTAGTGTACTGATAATGAACATGGTAATATTGTAGTGTACTGAAAATGAACATGGTAATATTGTAGTGTACTGAAAATGAACATGGTAATATTGTAGTGTACTGATAATGAACATGGTAATATTGTAGTGTACTGAAAATGAACATGGTAATATTGTAGTGTACTGAAAATGTACATGGAAGTGTTGTAGTGTACTGAAAATGAACAATGAAGTATTGTAGTGTACTGATAATGTACATGGAAGTGTTGTAGTATACTGATAATGTACTTCCCTGACTTATATCATACCTGAAGTATCCCCCAGCCCATATGTCATACGTGAAGATCCCCCCTGCCACATGTCATACCTGAAGAATTTCCCCTCCCACGTGTCATATCAGAACTATTTCCCCTGCCACTTGGCATACCTGAAGAATATCCCCTGTCACATGTCATACCTGAAGTATTTCCCCGGAACATGGCACACCTGAAGTACTTTCCATGCCACATGACATACCTGAAGTATCTCCCTTGCCTCATGGCATACCTGAAGTATTCCCCCTGCAACACGGCATAACTGGAGTATTTCCACTGTCACATGTCACACCTGAATTACCTCCCCTGCCACATGGCATAACTGAAGCATTCCCACTGCAAAAATGTCATACCTGAAGTATTTCCCCCGCCACATGGCATATCTGAAGTATTCCCACTGCCACATGTCATACCTGAAGTATCTCCCCTGCCACATGGCATACTTGAAGTATATCCCCTGCCACATGTCATACCTGATTTTATCCCCTACCACATGTCATACCTGAAGTATCTCCCTGCCACATGGCATACCTGAAGTATTTCCACTGTAATTTCGCATACCTGAAGCATTTCCCCTGCCACATGTCATACCTGAAGTATCTCCTCCGCCACATGGCATACCTGAAGTATCTTCAATGCCACATGGCATAACTGAAGTATTCCCCCTACCACATTTCATACCTGAAGTATCTCCCCCTGCCACATGGCATAGCTGAAGTATCATCCCTGCCACATGGCATATCTGAAGTATCTCCCCTGCCACATGTCATACCTGATTTTATCCCCTACCACATGTCATACCTGAAGTATCTCCCCTGCCACATGGCATACCTGAAGTATCTTCCCTGCCACATGCCATAAATGAAGTATTCCCAATGCCATATGTCATAACTGAAGTATTTCCACTGTAATTTCGCATACCTGAAGTATTTCCCCTGCCACATGTCATACCTGAAGTATCTCCCCAGCCACATGGCATACCTGAAGTATCTTCAATGCCACATGGCATAACTGAAGTATTCCCCCTACCACATGTCATACCTGAAGTATTCCCACTGCCACATGTCATACCTGCAGCATCTCCCCTGCCACATGGCATACCTGGAGTATCTCCCCTGTCTCATGGCATACCTGAAGTATCTCCCCCTGCCACATGGCATAGCTGAAGTATCATCCCTGCCACATGGCATATCTGAAGTATTCCCTTGTCACATGTCATACCTGAAGTATCTCCCCTGCCACATGTCATACCTGATTCTATTCCCTACCACATGTTATACCTGATTTTATCCCCTACCACATGTCATACCTGAAGTATCTCCCCTGCCACATGTCATACCTGATTTTATCCCCTACCACATGTCATACCTGAAGTATCTTCCCTGCCACATGCCATAAATGAAGTATTCCCAATGCCACATGTCATAACTGAAGTATTTCCACTGTAATTTCGCATACCTGAAGCATTTCCACTGCCACATGTCATACCTGCAGCATCTCCCCTGCCACATGGCATACCTGAAGTATCTCCAATGTCTCATGGCATACCTGAAGTATCTCCCCCTGCCACATGCCATACCTGAAGTATATCCCCTGTCTCATGGCATACCTGAAGTATATCCCCTGCCACATGTCATACCTGATTTTGTCCCCTGCCATATGTCATACCTGAAGATTCTCCACTGCCATATGTCATACCTGAAGTATCTTCCCTGCAACATCTCATACCTGACGTATTTCCCCTGTGACATGTCATACCTGAAGAGTGTCCCCTGCAACATGTCATACCTGAAGTATTTCCCCTGCCACATGGCATACCTGAAGTATCTTCCCTGCCATATATCCGGCTGAAGTATCTCCCCCTGCCATATGCCATACCTGAAGTATCCTCCATCCCACTTGTCATACCTGAAGTATTTCCCATGCCACGTGTCATACTTGAGACATCTCCCCCTTCCAAATGTCATACCTGAAGTATATGCCCTGCCACATGGCATACCTGAAGTATATCCCCTGCCACATCTCATATCTGAAGTATTTAATCTGCCACATGGCATACCTGAAGTATTCCCACTGGCACATGTGAAACCTGAAGTATCTCCCCTGCCACATGTCATACCTGAAGTATCTCCCCTGCCACATGGCTTACCTGAAGTTTTCCCACTGCCACATGTCATATCTGAAGTATGTCCCCCTGCCACATGTCATACCTGAGGTATCTTGCCTGCCACATGTCATACCTATGAAGTATGTTCCTGCCACGTGTCATACCTGAAGTATCTCCCCTGCCACATGGCATGCCTGAAGTATTCACCAGCCAAATGTGATACCTGAAGTATTCCCACTGCCACATGTCATACCTGAAGTATCTTCCTGCCACATGTCATACCTGAAGTATATTCCCTGCCACAAGTCATACCTGAAGTATCTCCCCTGCCACATGGCATGCCTGTAGTATTCTCACTGTCAAATGTGATACTTGAAGTCGTCCCCCTGCCACATGTGATACCTGAAGTATCTTCCCTGCCACATGTCATACCTGAAGTATTTAACCTGCCTTATGTCTTACCTGATGTATCTCCCATCCCACATGTCATACTTGAAGTATCTCCCCCTGTAACATGTCATACCTGAAGTATCTTCCCTGCCACATGTCATACCTGAAGTATTTAACCTGCCTTATGTCTTACCTGATGTATCTCCCATCCCACATGTCATACTTGAAGTATCTCTCCCTGTAACATATCATACCTGAGGTATCTTCCCTGCCACATGTCATACCTGAAGTATTTAACCTGCCTTATGTCTTACCTGATGTATCTCCCATCCCACATGTCATACTTGAAGTATCTCCCCCTGTAACATGTCATACCTGAGGTATCTTGCCTGCCACATGTCATACCTATGAAGTATGTTCCTGCCACGTGTCATACCTGAAGTATCTCCCCTGCCACATGGCATGCCTGAAGTATTCACCAGCCAAATGTGATACCTGAAGTATTCCCACTGCCACATGTCATACCTGAAGTATCTTCCTGCCACAAGTCATACCTGAAGTATCTCCCCTGCCACATGGCATGCCTGTAGTATTCTCACTGTCAAATGTGATACTTGAAGTCGTCCCCCTGCCACATGTGATACCTGAAGTATCTTCCCTGCCACATGTCATACCTGAAGTATTTAACCTGCCTTATGTCTTACCTGATGTATCCCCCATCCCACATGTCATACTTGAAGTATCTCTCCCTGTAACATGTCATACCTGAGGTATCTTCCCTGCCACATGTCATACCTGAAGTATTTAACCTGCCTTATGTCTTACCTGATGTATCTCCCATCCCACATGTCATACTTGAAGTATCTCCCCTGTAACATGTCATACCTGAGGTATCTTCCCTGCCACATGTCATACCTGAAGTATTTAACCTGCCTTATGTCTTACCTGATGTATCTCCCATCCCACATGTCATACTTGAAGTATCTCTCCCTGTAACATGTCATACCTGAAGTATCTTCCCTGCCACATGTCATACCTGAAGTATTTAACCTGCCTTATGTCTTACCTGATGTATCTCCCATCCCACATGTCATACTTGAAGTATCTCCCCCTGTAACATGTCATACCTGAAGTATCTCCCATCCCACATGTCATACTTGAAGTATCTCCCCCTGTAACATGTCATACCTGAAGTATCTTCCCTGCCACATGTCATACCTGAAGTATTTAACCTGCTTTATGTCTTACCTGATGTATCTCCCATCCCACATGTCATACTTGAAGTATCTCCCCCTGTACCATGTCATACCTGAGGTATCTTCCCTGCCACATGTCATACCTGAAGTATTTAACCTGCCTTATGTCTTACCTGATGTATCTCCCATCCCACATGTCATACTTGAAGTATCTCCCCCTGTAACATGTCATACCTGAAGTATCTTCCCTGCCACATGTCATACCTGAAGTATTTAACCTGCCTTATGTCTAACCTGATGTATCTCCCATCCCACATGTCATACTTGAAGTATCTCCCCCTGTAACATGTCATACCTGAAGTATCTTCCCTGCCACATGTCATACCTGAAGTATCTCCCCCTGTAACATGTCATACCTGAAGTATCTTCCCTGCCACATGTCATACCTGAAGTATTTAACCTGCCTTATGTCTTACCTGATGTATCTCCCATCCCACATGTCATACTTGAAGTATCTCCCCCTGTAACATGTCATACCTGAAGTATCTTCCCTGCCACATGTCATACATGAAGTATCTCCCCCTGTAACATGTCATACCTGAAGTATCTTCCCTGCCACATGTCATACCTGAAGTATTTAACCTGCCTTATGTCTTACCTGATGTATCTCCCATCCCACATGTCATACTTGAAGTATCTCCCCCTGTAACATGTCATACCTGAAGTATCGCCACCGCAAGTTGGATCAACACACATCGTAGAATTTGTTTACTGATTCCTGGGTCGCCATCAGATTTCGAGTTTCTTTGCATTTGTAAAAATCCTTAGTATTGGCAGAGGGCATTGTGGGACAGGGCATGGGAGATTGGTGACAGGACGCGACCATCGACATAGCCTGTTTGTTCAGTGTGTCGCCGAGACGTTCGTGTGTGAATCAGTTGACTCATGTCGATGGCGGGTGTTTAGCGCAGTCCATAGAGAACAAACTGATGTTGAATTCCCACTGTCGGGCGGAACACATGCAGTGGTTCATGGTGGTCGCCATAACTACCTTCACCGTGGTAGCACGTGCTAGAACATGCTCACAGAATACTGTAACCTGAAATACGTCCTGACTTACCACCAAGAGTGGAAATAGTGATAGTGATGCATCATATTTCATGTTTCTGTTTCAGGAAGTGGAAGGCATGACTCAACAATCTATCGCAAGAGAGTAGGATCGCCTGTGACCTCTGACCTCTCGCAGCATGCACTTCCGTCCGTATTGCAACCGCTGAGTACCATGCACTGTAATGCATACTGGGAATTGGGTCATACTGACTCTACCAGGATACACATCATTCGAACGTTTTGTAAACCTTTTTTAACAATTACATTGAATGTGTACTTGGACGAATGTAAAACACGTATTATAATATTTTCAATAAAATTCCGACGTATGTCTTTCTAAGAAATAATGGCTTCATATTTCTATGTGCATAACCGTTCCTGTCTTGCCCACGCTATTTTCTTATGAAATTAAAACTCGTTTACTCGAAGTACTTGTGACTATCGAAAACACACATCGAGTGCATCGTTCGTGGCAAACGGGCGTCATACTAAACAATTGTAACATTACTTCATCCATAGAGTCACGGTCCAAGGTCAGTTTGGGCATGTATAGACATAATACACGTTCACCACAATGGCACTCCACCTAAATACATATTTACATAGAGTGGTCCTAACACGAATGTCTTGCTTAGTTTTCAACGGAAGCGCATCGATAAAACTGTACAGGAAAAATAACTGGATATGTGTGTGTGCCCTATTTATCTCTCCATCAGCTGTAAAGTCATATTCTGCATCCTCTGTGTTTTCCTCTCATCATCAAACAATAAAAGTCGAAACAGCGTACAACTGCGTTGGTGTGAGTTATTAAGATACACAACCTTCAATCCGTTGAGGTGAACATAACGCAGTAACTTATACACAGTATTGATAAATATATTTGCCTTTCCTATGTCAAATCAGAATCAATAACAGATTTAAAGTATTACCTAATATTGTTCATTTTAGTGTCTTGTTCATGATTCACTGAGTAAACATGATATGAACATGCCAGGTTTTCATGGAAGGGCTAGGTAACCGCGGTATACCACGCTAAGCTGAGTTCCAGGACAATCTATTTGTGTGTCAAACTAGGTCCATGCCAATGGTTTCTCTTTTTTTATGATATTTTCATATTCAGAGATACGATGGTAAATATTCCAGTGGGACTGACGTTTTGCTCTTGGTAAAGGTTACATTCGACCAAGTAGTGGTATTAGTAATTTAAAAATAATAATAAACAAACGGATCGATCAATGTCTACCTGAAGACAAGTAAACACAGTGACATAACCATGTTCACATGCACGACAAGATGATTACTTCTATGTCTGTACAATTGTCTTACATATCTACACCGTATTACACGCAATATTTAGACCACAAAGCAAACACACGATATTTTAGGTCAAATTGAAATCAGATCTGGGGTATGTGCCAGATTGCTGATCTGTGGCGGTATCAGCCTTGCTAGTTCACTCCCAGTGGGCTCGTCTACACAAAGAGAGATTAGCGTGTCTGTCCTTGTAATGCCTTCACAGTTAAATAGTTAATCACACGTAACTAATTTAATGAACTAAAATATTCCACATGGATTTCCTTTCTCTGTCTCCGGGGAGATAGCCTACAGCAAATGGTAAAACTGCTGGTTATTACCCGGGTTCGATTGCCCACATGGGTACCCTGTGTGAAGCCCACCTCGAGTGCCCCTCGCTGCGATTTTGCCTTTATATCACGCGGCGTGAGACGACATTCACTCACAAACATACTGTGATTTACATATGTGACAGACACGGACATTGTCAGGGAGGCGAGGCAACTCCATCATTCAATGTCCACACTTTGGCAGTCAGTTTTTGTCGCCCCTTTCAACTACTTGAAGAACCTGGCGAATCATTCCGCCTCTGAATGCAGACAGCGCATGTAATGAAAAAGTGTGATATTTGCAAATAGAAGTGTGATTTTTCTGTCATGACCGTAAGAAAGTAAGGAAGCAAACATTATCATGCTTTTCAGTTCAGAGGTATTGTCTTACCGGCGAGTCATAAACTTCATCTTTGCCATAGAATATATCCCAATGTGCTCCCTACGACAGATAAACACTCAATGACCAACAGTTGCAACTGCAAAACCAACATGTTTAAATAACTTGCTCGAATCTGGGCCTTTTTAAATCATAACAATATGAATAGAAAATAAGCGTTTTCGTTAGTACATTCTGAACATGCCCATAAACCAGCAGAAAGTGAGGCCTTATGAAATGTATGAAAGAGACTACTGGAGAATTCTTGATACAGGTGACACAATTCTGCAAGATAGGTCACACATGACCCCAGCCCGAGTGTTAACGCCCCTCCAGACACACATGCCAATGTCATGCATTCAACCTCCAACATAAGCCGCTTTACCCATGTCCTGTCTGATAATGGATATCAATTCCTGACTTTTGCTTATCGGTACTTTCACAGCAACGTTAACGATAGTCACGAGATCAGTTCGTGTTATCTCTCTTGTAACACAATATATCCCAGACACAACACTCACACTGGAAAGTCGAAAAGTTAGGGCCTACCTCAAACTGACACCGTTGTAGGCCACTGTTTGTATGACAAGCGTCAATACTGTTGTATTCCTGAGCATACAGTGTGATTACACAAACACACGATCGGGTCTCATCACAATGTGTTTGTCAAATAAAATATGTCAACAGTGTTCTTGTCTATGTTTTAACCTACCGTAGAATATATATCGAAAACATTGTGGCAACTGTTAAATTACATTCATAATTTCAAAATTTCTTTGTGGCGCTAATGTCGTCAAAAACACCGTGATCGCATCCCCCAGGCGTGTCAGTGAACTATATGGTCGTAGGTTCGAATCTGAGATTCCCTGTACAATATAACATAGTGATAAATAACCATGGTTGTCGATACCTGGCCCTTTATTACCACGTTAACCTCGCTTCCATTAATCTGTTTAACACATAAGAGATTTAAATTATGTTTGTTTGAGTACGTTGGGTGAGGCTGATAGCTACATGTGTGCCAATGAAAGGTTAATGACGTCTTGTTCTAATAAGGATCTGAACCTGCAGCTGTGGAAGAACACCTATTAGTTAATGTCACTCTGTCCTTAACACCCAATCGTTGGTAATATTTTGTTTGACAATCACCACTAGCAACGGCATTGTCACGCCAGGCGGGCGTATATTACCTTGTGCATGCACAACATTCAGACATACCTGGCTGGGGTAGGACGTCTAAAGCATCATCAATATGGGCGAGTGGTCAAACGGTCTCTTTGGCTGCTTCAATGACTGCGGATTATGCATAATAACCTATTTTGCACCCTGCTACACTGCAGGCAAGGTTGCAGAGAAAACTGGTGACAGCTGTTGCACCTATGGATGTTTAAGCATCTTGGGACCGATTGGAATCTACACCAGAGCCAAAACAAGGGGCAAACTGAGGGAAACCAAAGGAATCGAGGTAAAGTTGAAAATCACCTTTGTAAAGGTTGTATGCGTGTACTGGTACACTTTAGCACTTCACAGAAGCACGCGTTGTTGATGTGATGTTCCATGATAATTCACTTTATGTACTATAGCATGTCATAAATCAGATACCAATATAGAAGAAACGATTTGCGAACGTGTTTTTCAATGAAGTGATCTCGAGAGAAATACTCGTACGATAAAGATGCGTGATCATTAGTTCCTCTGTGAATATTTTGTATTATTACCTCTTAACTAATACAGTGTTTTAGGATCTCACTTTCACGATAATTCGTAAGTGTAATACGCCACTATGTTTGTCTTTCACAAACTGTCCACTTCTGTTCATCGCGATGTCTATAATGTACAATAGTTACAACAAAGGTTCCTAACACCAACATTTCGAGCTAAAACACTGTTCCTCTTCAACAACTGTTTTCACCCGACATGGAAATACCGGAATGCTAATTTCTTTTGACAACTGACTAAATACAGGGACGTGTGTACACGTCATCAAGGGAGTGTGTCGACGTCAATGACTTCATTTGTATTTCAGGGCGGCTTCTGCAACGACTGCATCATGCACTGGATCTGTGCAATCTGTTCACTCATACAGGAAGCTCAGGTACGATTCGCCATCGTCATTATTATTATCACCATCATTATTATCACCGTCATTATTATCACCATTAGCGTCTTGCCTAAACTGCCTGACAGTTCGGTTGCTAGGTACATAGCGCCCCCAACCTAGCTATAATGATCAGCTGTGGGGAGAATTAGTTACCATTTAACCAGCTGTCCTCTGAAACCGCGTCGAGACGTGAATGTGTCTCCGCTCATAAGGGTTAGCACTTTGTAATACGAGAAACACTGATCCAGCCACTGGAACAAGCACGGCGGGGAGTAATGTGAGCTGTTTCTCACACCATAATTTGAAGCGAGCTCTGTTCATATTTCACAAACAAATAGCAGCAAGACTATATAAATAAGACCCAAAACAGTCGTATCTTTTGTATGGAAACAACGATATTCTTCATAGTTAGTTCCGAACCAACTGGGCTGTCATTGGTCGAAATAATTCAGTTAGTGATTGAAATAACAATGAAGTGAGTGAATCAAATCAGTTCCATGGTTTCAAATACGTTGATATCAAAGCTATTATGGCAGTAACATTTTAGCAGGTAGTTGAATTTATTGGATTCCCATCATTCGAAAGCGTGCATTGTCACTCACAGTAGGGTATGTAAGGTGGGGCTCCAAGCATGTTCAACAGGATTGGCTGTAGGGTTGCGAGGGTAATCTTGGCGTTGGGTACGGTTATTTGGCATGTTTACACATACTTGTGTAGAGGCGGGGCTTCACTCGTTAACAGTACTGCGTCCACTTCAAGACCATTCGTTTACTGGTTGCTATGGACCTCCAATTTGTTGTTGCCCCTTGTCTCGTGCTTCAGTAGACATGGTCCTTCGTTTTGACTAAGGATATCTCCCACATATCTCCCAGTCTATTTGATGAGTTCTGTTATACACTCCTAACGAAACATAAATAGGTTTATTGTTACAATTAGAGTTACGGTAACACCAAAATTGATTTAAGTAATATCATAAGGGGAATATATTAATGAAACTGATTTAAATTTGTCAAATGAAAATATGTACTTATTATGTGTGAAATATATGATATCATGCTTAGATTAGAATAAGACATTTTAGCATTACTTTTCTCGAACTACAGATAAACATCAAAAGGACCTAAATAAACTTTTATAGTAATTATATATTGTTTTTCTAATCAAATATATCTTCTTTGACATAATGGCATATCAAAAACAAATAACACACTGTAAAAAGAAATTGTCTGACCCTATATACCTGTCAATTATGTGTTCGTTTTAGAAAAACCTTTAAATATCTCCTTTTCAGGAAGTAGACGCACTGGATCGTGGAGGCCAACAACAGGCGATGGCACGGCAATAAGTGGGTCAACCGGCTCATGTCAGTTCCTCCGTCCATTGATGATCCATCGATCAGTTTCCACCTGTGATACGGCCTATGGATTATATCCCATGTTTTCGTTGTCGAGCAGTCGATCCAGCCAGCCAGCTTTCGTCCAAAGATGAATATCGTCTACATATTCAACGCTCACGAACATTTATCGACATGACATTTATCATGCCACATGTCAACTTGTGATTAAGTGTTTTGAATAAAAATATTTATCGTTTTATTAACGTATGAGTTTAGTATTTTATTATTCATGTGAATGTACATATGGAATTATGATTTTGAAAGTGATTTCGATGTCGATACTGACACTGAGGTGAGGTGAAATTGGGTTTAACGTTTGAGAATATTTCGCTCATATGACGATGTGCATGCGTGTGTATGTGTATGTGCGGCTGCTTGTACTACACCAGACTGAAGCTGGTTTTATAGTGCTGGCCCACTGAGATTAATGCCGCAGTGAAGCAGGAATACCCCACTCAGACACATTATACTGACTCCGAGCCGACCAGTCCTTGTTGTACCCATTAATGCCGAGCGCCAGGCAGGGACCAACAAGTACCATATTTTAACGTCTTTTGGTATGATGCGGTCGGGGATCGAGCCCACGACCTTCTGCTCTCCGGGCGGACGCTCTAACCACTACACCACGGGGGCGGTCCACTGACACTGAGTTACGTAAGTGAATGTGTTATATCACGAGCCGGTGGAAGATGGTACTCAAATATATGATGCAGTGAATATGAAAAAAACCCAGGGATTATGAATGTATAATCCCTGAAAGTTTCAGTGATTACATTATGTCTGATTCACTCAGTGATTGTACATAATCACTGTCATTTTCAGGGATTATACATAATCACTCAACAATAGACTAGTATTTTAGACATATTCCCTGAAATCACTACTTGTGTAGTTTGAAGTATATTTCATCCAGAAAGATGTGGAATTCGACTTTTGTAGAGGGTAGAGAAGTTTCTTTGCTACAATAGTATCTTCTAAAATTCTAGTCTTTGTTTCAGTGATTATGTATAATCACTGAAAATGTCAGTTATTATATACAATCAATGAGTAAATCAGACATTATACATAATCACTGACAATTTCAGGTTTTACATATTAACTGTACCATATACACAAGATGAGACGTGCACGTCGAGCTAGACTGTCCCAGCTAATGGAGAGTTAAACTAGGAGAATCTGGAACACCGACCCTGTGATCTTTAGCTCACTAGTGTGTATTTGTCACACAATTTCTCACTTACGCCAGCTGCCCTAAGTATGCATGTATGGCTATTGATATTATTAGTAAGTACTTCCGTAAACAGGCAGGCTGATGATTGCTCTGATCTACACGCTACAAACATGTTACACAACACCAAACCAAATAGTTCTCCACATGTCAGGCCCTTGAAGCGGTTCCCCGAGGAACACTAAATATCTTCAATACCCTTCAGCACGAAACTGTTATTACAGTTAATATTACTTTGTCTTAGCAAGAACACACCCATCACTTCACCGGGTGTCACCACGAACGTCTCTTGAAACTGCCCATTTACGTAGAGTGAAGCAGCAGATTCCTAAATCTATGTAAACTGTTGCGACATTGGTACAAGTCATTTAGGTCGATGTTGACCACCGGTCAGCTTCCCTCTCCCTGCTCCGGACTGTTTCCCAGCCACACAACCATTGTGTTCCCTTCTGCGAAACCTTTCAGCAATAGAAATGTCCCAAATGAAGCAAGTCATCAATTTCATATTCAGATTGTGAATCTCCATTCTTCCTATGTCTATGTAAATGGATTATTTGTTTCTATCGGAAACTAAGCGGTAGTGAGTTCCCATCCACAACAACATAATAATGACTATAATTACACGGCAGCGTCCAGTTGGCGCCCCGAAGGTGAAGTCCACCAACCTGTTTAGCCGCTGTTCCAGGGTCAAGTCACGACTCACACTAGCCCTATCCCGGAGATAAATCACTGTCAGATTGCCACGTTATCGTGCACGATACCTGTATAGTAACACCTCACTATAGTTTTAACAGGAGCAAGAATCCGTTTGTACGTTTAAATGGAAAGGCGTCATAGAAAGATTGGAATTTCTACATTTGCTTCATTAAGCACTTTAGCATTGCAATAACGCGACACATTTTAAGGGCTGGGCGGGAGCAACAACACTATAGTTAGTGGAGTCTGGACAACACATGTTTGATATTTTTACCTCAACACCGCTCCTCCATCTGAGACCGCGATATGATACAATTTTACCTCGTCACACGCTGGTTCATTCGTCTCTTCCTCCATTAAGATGGTCGTGGAGCGTCGTGAGAGGTTAATTATGCCGGGACCTCACGACTGGTACTTTCAGTAAATCAATACATGATCACCTGTATCGCCTGGTGTCATTAGTCATAGCAGTGATCGATACTTTTAATTATAGTTCGAGAATATTATTGGCCTTCCTTTTGTTATAACCCCTCTTTGAGATGTCTCCTTATGTTTAACCTGACAGTGTCAGTGAGTGAGTGAGTGAGTGAGTGAGTGAGTGAGTTGGGGTTTACCTGTTAACGGAATTCTAGATGTATGGCGACATGTAGGCTTACAGCAGCAGGAACGCCCCAGGTGATGCAGAACGGTTACCACTTTGGCGAAACCAACGAGCTCGGGTATCTGACAAACTTCTAGTAGCTCGAGACATGACAGCCCGGTTTCATAATGCCCGGTATCATAAATGATTGTAATGATTCACAAATAAAGGTAATTATATCAACCTGTCTTTTTGTTTCCGAAATACGAAGTTAACAGGCCATCACATTTCATAATCATAAAGAACTGCGTATTTTCAATGCCAACACAAGAAACACAAAACGTTGATACATTTTAGCAAAGTATAGCAAGCTCTATTTCGAGCGCTAGTGTTTGTAAAGTGTACATAAGTCAGCACCTGATATAACATAGTCTTGTAACCATACAGTCTCCATTTGCTTTTGGGACCAACCATAGCATGAGATCGTTGGTATACTAGCAACAGACAAACAAAACAAAATACCTGCATTCATGGTACAGGTCGATAATTGGCCTTAGGGTATTGAAATACTAGCCCAGCACTGCCGTTACCGGCCTACAGGTCACGAATACGTGTTTGTAAATAGGATATGCTCAGATGGCGCCTAGACACATGTAGGGACATTATGTCACACGCCATAGAGAGAACTGAGAATTCGGTAACGCTGTATCACATTTATCTATATATGAAATCAACCTGATAGGTGGTTGTAGCAAATTCAAATTTGCCTTCCGATATGTAAATGCACAATAACAACATTGCAACTTAATATTGATCTAACTTCGACACTGGAAATGGTTTGTCCACTTTGTTCAATGTCCTGTCTGTATGACAGAAGCTGTCATCATTTTGAAGTCGTGTTGGCGTTAACGCTGATGTGCATTCCAGTGTAATGGTCATATGTGATGACAGTATGGTGTAGGCTTGGCGGTAATGATCCCCTCTGAAGCGACCGCGTAAATAATTATTCCAATTTACGAATCGTTTTCAGTACCATAGTTCTTTTCTCTGGCTAGAATTTCACTGCATATGAATGGCTTTGCTCTCTTTCCTTGGCTTGCATATATAATTCCCAGATCCTTGTATTGTCAGAGGGACAACTGATATTGAAGGGAACAGTGGACACATACAATGAAAGGTGCGTGATATAGATGAACTGAAAACAGAAATGAGATGTCTATCAACCCTGTAATGACAAAAGCTTCGTCAAATGTTCGTCAAAAAGTGGCATGTCCGCCAGCACAAATGCATATCTGAACAGAAAATGTAATCGTACGTGAAACATCAGCATTTTAGTGACTATGGATGACACGACTTCAGATATCTATTCTCAGATGATATCACCATAGATGTTATAAAGCATGTCATAAACACAGATGTAATAAGGCATGTCATAAACACAGATGTAATAAGGCATGTCATAGACACAGATGTAATAAGGCATGTCATAAACACAGATGTAACAAGGCTTGTCATAAACACAGATGTAATAAGGCATGTCATAAACACAGATGTAATAAGGCATGTCATAAACACAGATGTAATAAGGCTTGTCATAAACACAGATGTAATAAGGCATGTCATAGACACAGATGTAATAAGGCATGTCATAAACACAGATGTAATAAGGCTTGTCATAAACACAGATGTAATAAGGCATGTCATAAACACAGAGTTCATGATATTCATGTTCGCTGTTAATAGGTTGTAAAGGCAGCCATACATCAATGTGTTAGAATGTGCACACATCCAACCAAATAGTCTAACAACAACAACTGTATTAACACCGAACAAACTGGTGGAAATGGAACGAGTGGAACGTAAGAGGCACTAAAAACAATATGAATCAAGGAAGTAACAAGTGCATTTTACATGACAAGTACATGTTCACGACAAATGTGGACATGTCTCAGCAGACCACATTCCTCACAAAAAGCCACCGTGTTGATCTCTACATTGTAGTTTTAATAGACAAACCACAACACTGGCTGGGGATGCTCAGGGATGCGTGGAAGAGCTTATCATATTTTGGAAAACGACGAAATATATTCAAAAATAGAACAACTGCAGGAAGATGCAAACATGTTGGTGCAAGTGTTGTGGTGGATGAGTGAGTATGGCTTTACACCGCTTTTAGCAATATTCCAGCAATATGACAGCGGGGGGGACACCAGAAAAGGGCTTCACACATTGTACCCATGTGGAAAATCGAACATGGGTCTTTAACCATTAGGCTACCCCACCGCCCCGAGTGTTGGATAAAGGGTGGTGTATGTAGAGTGAGTAGGGTGTGAAGGGTAGTGTATGTAGGGTGAGTAGGGTGTGAAGGGTGGTGTATGTAGGGTGATATATGTAGTATTGTGTGTGTAAAGTGTAGGTTGATGTCAGTAATGTGTGTAGTATGGTTTGTGTGTGTAAAGTGTTGTATGTAGGTTGATGCCAGTAATGTGTGTAGTATGGTTTATGTGTTTAAGGTGTTGTATGTAGGTTGATGTCAGTAATGTGTGTAGTATGGTTTGTGTGTGTAAGGTGTTGTATGTAGGTTGGTGTCAGTAGTGTGTGTAGTATGGTTTGTGTGTGTAAGGTGTTGTATGTAGGTTGGTGTCAGTAGCGTGTGTAGTATGGTTTGTGTGTGTAAGGTGTTGTATGTAGGTTGGTGT